GGGCGCAGCGAGCGGAGCGCGGCGCAGGGAGCGCGATCTGCGCGGGTGGCTGCGGCAGCGCCCTGCTCCCACGGCTCGGATTTTCGGCCCAGCGAAGTAGCCTCCAGCGGTGGCGGCGGCGTCCGGGCGATGCCGCGGGACCCCTCGGGCGCCGGTGTCCTGGCCTCTTCCTAAGGTACCCAGCCCGGCTCGCACCCTTGACGAGGGGAATCTCAGCGCCTGGGAAGTGGCTTTGTGAAGCTCCTGGCTGGGTGGACTCCGTGGTGGGCCGGTGAGCGGGTGGGTGGGGCTGGGCCGGGCTGCGCCGTCTGGGCTGCTTTCCCTCCGAGGAAGAGGGTGGGGGCCGAGGGAAGCGGGTGCGGGGAGGAGGGCTGTCTCCGGGCAGCAGCTGACGGCATCCCCAGGCTCCATCCTCCTCCTGCCTCCATGTGGTTTGAAAGAGGTTTTGTTCCAGGAGAAAGTTTGATGCCCAGAGTTGAGCAGCCTGACTTGATTGATGGTCCTTGAGGCCCACGCCCCTAAAGAGAGGCAGCCCACCCTACGCCGTACACCTCTGCACTGAATACGGGCACGTGGGAACCCGGGTTCTGACCTGAGCAGCATTCTTGACGTAGGACTTTCCTTGAGGAAATTCCTCCGTGGGAATCCCCTTTGGGGAGGAGGCTTTCTGGACACAGCCCCAACTTGTGGCTTGAAAACAATGCAGCAGGTAGTCTCTGGTCCCATGTACCTTTCCCGTAGCATAGTCTCTGCCAAGACTTACGCTGTAGGAGCTTCAAAAATTTAAACTTAACTTCTGATTAAAGATTCCCAAATCCAATGTGTCCAATGTCGGGGCCACCATCCAAGGTGACAATGATAACTTCTGTTAGACTCTTTAATATTTTAGCACTTATTTTCAATTGGCTTTCCCTGAGTTTTATGACAGTTGCTGTGGCACATAGCAAGTGGGTAGAAGTTATGGCCCATCATTTAGTGTGAGAGACGGGAACAAAAAAATACATAATGTGTGTGCCCACTTGAAGAAAGGCAGGTTTCAGTCTTCAAATGAGGTGGATTAGGTGAGCACTATTAGCTTTATAAAACAAATAAAATAAAAATTCCAATTCCAGTTAGAACTAAGTTTTATCTGAGATTGTAAGAACACATCAATCATAAAGTGACTCAGGGTAGAGGAGTAACATGTAGATAGCACATAGTCTTGCAAGTAGCAGATCTTACATATATACTTAAAACATGAATTTTATTTAATCTGTCATATCTTTTTGATCACACATGTGGATTCTCACATTTAAACTCTTTTTTATCAAGATCCGTTCATACCATAAGACAATTTTATAATATCCTTTGAAACGTCTTGTTCCAGTTCATGTAACTTACCCCTCCACCAGAAAACATCATCTTATTTAGAGCACCTACATTTAAGGACAGTTTGCAATAGTGTCCATACATCAAGCACATTATGTGTGTCAGACACATTACTAGGTGCCATATATATATATATTATTACTTTAGTTGTTATAGTCACTCTAAGCAGATGTTATTACTTTCCCTGAGTTTATGTAATTTCCCCTCACAACTATGCAGCAAATGATGGAGGTAGGATTTGAAACCGGGTCTTTTAACTCCCTATTGATCCTCTTGACTACTACTCTATGCTGTCTCCTAGCTCTTTTGAGAATTACTCTGTTATAGTAGGGAATCCAAATATGGCAACATACACTATCTCTACTGGCCTAATGTATCAGATCTTTTTCTAGAATGTCTTCTCTCTCTGGGAGCCCACCTCACCCCCCACCCTTGGGGCATATGCATAAAAATCAAAGCCTCCTTAGATCTCCCAGCCTTCCCCTCAGTTCAGATGGAAACCTCTAGACCTGTCAACCCATCATCCTTTCAGGTAAGTCAGTTCCAGGCGATAGGTAACCCAGTGTTTCCCTCCCCGGCACTTAAGGAGCAGTCTCTACTCAGTTATGTGAGTCTATTTTAGCTCTGCACATACTCCCTACTGGTTGGCAGCAACATAGCCCCTGCAGTGTTCGCACTGGCACACGCATCCCCTTGTACCAACTGTCAGAGAATTCCTGACACAGGCCGACCTACTTAAAAGGAACAACTAAAATGAAGTCACTGGGGAAAGTGGTTTTACTCTGGGGAATCCTTGAGTTCCCCACTACCGGTCAGAAAGGAAATTAACATAGGGCTCTAGGAACAGGAAGTGGGCCTTTTCCATAATGGGAAATGCCATATGGACATCGTAGCCTAGTTTCAACACTATTGAAATATGTGCCCACCCTGGAAAAACCTCTTTACCTGTTGTCTTGATGACAAATGTGGCCACACATTTATTCCTGCTTGGATAATCACTTTTACACTAAGGCAGCTGTCACTTGAAGGAACAGCATCAAAAACTGATGTCACAACTATGACACAGTAAGTTTGGAAGCTGTGCCTAAAATTATAATTTATAGCCATTGTTTTCTAATTTCTCTTCCCCAGGTTTTTTTTTTTTTTTTGTGTGTGTGTGTGTGTGTGTGTGTGTGTGTGTGTGTTGTTCTCTTCCTTGGTATGGTATTTGACTCTGGTTCTAGAATGATTTTTTGTTGTTGTTTTTGTTTTGCGGGGCCTCACCATCTTCACATTAGGACACCACTTCTGTATTACAGCATATTTTAGGTTTTGTTTTTTAATTTTTAAATTTGTTCATTTTAGATGTACATGACTCTAAAATGATTTATAAATACTAAGCTTTGAAAGAAATCAATGTATTTTTGAGCTGTAACCATATGCTGCCTAGAATCATATCCTTCTAGTTGGCACTTTACTCCTGTTACTCTAGTGCAAGAATCTTAAAGTCCTGCATATATGCTTTGGGATTTTAAATGGACCCTCTTGTCTAATTATTTCACTCCATCCTCTGTAGCAGTAGTAGAATTTGAGATTAGAATAGAGCCCCGGCACTATCTCTCTATTATCTCTGCCAAAAAACTGGAGCAGCACCAATTAAAGTAGGAAAAGTAGAACACGAAGTTTGCTCATTGTCACACTCTTGCCCCAGAATGGAAGATGTGCCAAAAACATTGTTGGAAAAGTAACTGGACTTTCTTAAATGATTAGTGACTTGTAAAACTATACCAAAATTATTGAAATTATATAGTTTCCTTAAAATCGTGTATGTGCATGTACTTCCAGAATCAACAAACCTCTACTCTAAATTCTGTTTCTAAAATTTCTCAGTAACCAGCAATCCCATCTTATTTTCCATATTTTGTCAAATCTAAAATACTGTCAATTGTAATATATGACATTATTCTTATGCTGTACAAGAAAAAAGAAAAATTTGATTACAGCATACCACTTTAATGCTGTTCCTCCATGACACTACTTGAATAGATCACACTAGTGTTTGATGGCTTTCAAGTTTCCTTCTTCTCTTCTGTGGATATGAGTACATTTTTCTTGCCAGTACATTTGGTAGCATTGCTTGAGTTGTGTGGGACAGTGCCTTTGCATGAATCAGTAACAGATTTGGACATGGCTTCACCAGTGTGTGTCTTTCTTTCTTCATTCTGGTAAAGCATTTGCATCTTGCTTTGCAAGGCATTATGGATATGCCAATCAAGGGTAAAAGTTTCCTTTGGTGAGGCAACATTTATGTCCCACTGCTCTGTTTTGGTGCTTTCATGCATATACTGTTACATTTCCTTGCAGAGCCAAGTCATAGCGTAATCTTTTTGAAAACAATTTAAATGGCAATTAAGCAGAACATGTACAGGACTAGCAATGACCATAATTCAGTAGAATTGAAAACAAAATGAATAGCTGTGACCGAGTTTTTGTACATGGAGGGTCATGACATTTGTGCCATGACTATGGTCAGGTCAATATAAAGATATATCCTGATTTCGGGAACATTAAGAATGTGGAAAAATTATCAATGACATACCCTAATCTGTGCCCACTTAGTTTTATGAACTGAACTTGCCTACCTTCTTTCATCCATGTATTCATTCATAAAGTCATGCATTTTGTTAGACTGCAAGCCCCAAGAGGGCAAGGGCTTTTTTTTTTTTTTTTTTTTTTTTTTGTCTTATTCTCCACTATATGCCAACCAGGTAGGACAGCCTGTGATACAAAGTAAATCTGTTCACTGATTAAATCTGTAAATGTGTGAACAAGTATCCTCCCATGGAAGATGAAGACACATGGAGTTGTTCACTGCCCTCTTGCTGGTTGGAAAACATATTCTTAAAAATATGATGGTGACAGGAATAAAGGGGGACAGGCCCACATTAAGTTCTTGATTAATAGAGCCCTATTGAAACTACTTGATGCTATAATGATGATATAAAACTAGTTCAGAATAGAAGAAATTCCAGCATAGTTTTATATTGATTTTTTTTTTCACTGAAGGAATTTATAGCAATTTATATCTTGGATTTTTTTTTTTTTGTATTATCTAAAACCATGACTTGCTTGGACTCTATGTAATTTAATGTACTTGTCCTACTACGAAGAACAGGGAAATGCCTTTTTCCTCCCATAGGGCCCTCTGAAACAGAACTCAGTGCCAGCGACCTTGCCTAGGTATATAATCCCATGAAGACAAACCTACCCAAGCAGCTTGCTTTATAGTCCATTTGTTTATGCCAAAAAGGGGCATATTTATATTTTTGACATGTGACCCCCCCCCCAAAAAAAAAACTTTGTTGGGCGGGACACATCTCCATCTGCAGGGCCTCTGCTTCCTCACTGCTGCCCAGTCAAGCAGAAAGCTCTTCTAGACAGTGAAGCTAGCTGCAGATGCCAGCAGAAGGAATGGCAGGGGAACTAGCTTAGCAACAACTCAGAAGCAGTCCCAAGAATCCAAAGTGAATTAGCCTTGCCCATATAACCCCGTGATCTCTGAATGTAACAGCTGGACCTGCAAAGACACATCCAGCTTCTAGTTCAGAGAAATGTGGGACCTCTGAACACATGTCTGACACTCTGAGGTCCCTTGTGGGTTTCTAAGATACATTCAGTTGACTTGCTCAAGGGAGGATGATTGATGTGGGCAAGTCATCACTACATGTCCCCAGCTGCAAATGACACAATTTAGTTTAGTGGTGGGTGCTATGAAGGGGCATGGCAGATAGACCAGAGCTGGTTCTTTTATATACTAGAAAATACTTA